TTGGGTCTCAATTTGCTGCTCTTGTCCCCTCGAGCATTACTCTTCCCTCTGCCCTAGTTCTGGGGGCCAGATGTCTAAATCTAATCTTTCAACCTTAGAGATCATAGAGTTAACTCTTCTTATTTCAGAGATGAAGAAATTAAGGACCAGAAGGGCCAACTCACTTGCTCAAGGTCACACAGCTAAGTGTGAGCTAGACTGAAATTAGAACCCAGGGCTTCTAATCTCTCATTCTAAGCTATTTTCTTGTATCACCATGATGCTTCTGTAGATAGAACAGAAACCTCTTGGTCATTGATGATGCTTATATAGTCAGAGCGTATTCCCTTTTGCAGACCATTAGAATCCCCAGATCTCAGGTTTCCTTTCTCTTTAGATGCAAAGGACTTCAGGGATAGTTTGTCTTGTGAAAGTCACAAGGATCTTTTCCTCTCCTAATCCTCTGAATCATTTAGAAAAGCAAGGGAAATTAAGGATAATCTATTCCAACTCTCTCTTTTACAGATGAGAAAACTAAGGGCTAAAGAAATTAAGTGACTTACATACAGATAATTACACAGGTAATAAGTGGTAGAGACAGTATCTGAACCCAGGTCTGCTAACTCCAACATCAGTTTTCTTTCCACTGTACCAGATACAATTGTAATCAAGAACCAGTCAAATGTAAATCCTTCTCCGAAATTTCAAGCAGGAAATGCTGTTGAAAGCTGAGTCCAAACCAAGTCTTCTTTACAAAAGCAAACTGACAATTTAACTTCTCAAAGAGTTCTCCTTGCCCTTTGGGGTGTCAGGAGAAAGAACCAAAAAGACCTGAGTTCCAACCCCACATCTGCCACTCACTAGCTGTGTGGCTTGGGATGAGTCATGCTTTTTCTAGGCCTCAGTTTCCAGATTTGTAAAATGAGGAGTCTGGATCAAATGACCTCATACATTTCCCTCAACTGTGTAATTCCTATGATACCCTATAATTATCCTTATCACTTGAACAAAAAAAAATAGAGTTCCCTTCGATCCATTTGTTGCTTGGATATGTCTACTAATTGTTCATTCCCAGATCCTGGGTATGCTCCCCCACCTGAAACAATTAGGTCACTGCGTGGTTTCCCCCACGGCTGGTAAAGTGGTGGAAGGTGAAAGAGCTTTTACAGAGGTTTCTAGGGATCCACTGCCATCTAGTGCATTGCAGAAGAAATGCAGCTAATTCAGCCAGACTGAAAAAGCAGGCATATAAGGTCGTGTTCCTTCTTGCCCTTCACCCTAGTTGAGGGATGTCAGTCATCCTGCTAGGAGTCACAAAGAAGAGAAAGGAAGGATAGTATGGTGGAGTGGAAAGAGCCTTGCATTCTGACTCATACATACTCAGAGTTGGAAGGAATTTCAGCAACCATCTAGTCCAAACATGGCCCCGTGCTATTGCCAATTGGCACTAGGTCTCCAGAATTGATTGTTAAATTTTCATTGTGACCATTTACACCTCAGAAATCTGCAAACACTACAAATTGAAGCTTGTTTTGTTGTTTTGTTGATTGCCTAGACTTAAAAAGTGATGGAGGGAATGTTAGTAATACAGGTTAAACTTTAACGTGCATCATGTATATATACCCCAAAAAAGCTGATTGTTAAACATTTATCAACATAGCCCTAAGTCCAACCCATAAATGAAAGTCATTCCCCTCTACAATATACCAGAGAAGTGGTCATCCAGGCTTTGTTTGAAGACCTCCAATCATGGGAAACACACTATCTCCCAAGGCAATCTATTCTTTTGGAGGATATCTCTAATCATTAGGATCCCACACACACATAATGTCCCAGATACTTTCTTACCTTGGGAGTCCACTCTGTACCTGCAGCCTCCTCACCTTGGAAGTTCATTTTGACCCTGGCCTTTTCACACTAAAGTCCTTGAGGCCCTTTCCTTTGATTGGTAGACAAATGACCCCGTTTTAAGGAAAGTGCCCAGGCCAACCATGTATTCTTCTTCATTCATTCTTCTCCATAATCCACTCCTAATTCCTTAGTCTTTCTTCACCATACTCCCCACTAGTCCCGTCCCCTACTTTTTAGCTTCCTTTTATGGGCTGTATTCCCTCATTGGGCAGCTAAGTAGCACAGCGCATAGAGTGCTGGGCTTGGAGTCAGGAAGACTCATCTTTCTGAGTTCAAGGCTACCTGCAGACACTTACTAGCTGTGTGAACATGGGTAATTACTTAACCCTGTTCACTTCAGTTTGCCTCAAAATAAGCTAGACAAGGAAATAGCAAACCACTCTCTTTGCCAACAAAACCTCACATGGGGTCACAGAGTCAGACAAGATCGAAACTACTGGACAATTCCCCCATCAGAATGTAAGCTCCTTGAGGACAGGGACTGTGTTTCCTTCTGGTTCTCTTGTATTTTCAGTGCTTAGCATAGTGCCTGGAACATAGCAACCACTTAGTAAATGCTTGTTAATTTGTTGACTTGAATTGATTAAATTCCCTTTGTTGATCTGAGTCCTGCCCTGTGGAGCCAAGCAGAACAAATTTAATCTCTCTTCCATCAGACAACCTTTCAGATACTTAAAGTCAACTATTATAGTCCCTCCTGAGACTCCTCTTCTCCTGGATATGCATCCCAGTCCCTCCAACCAATCTCCATATGGCTTAAGGTTGTTGTAATCAAAACTCTGGGTAAAGAACTCAAGAAATGAGGGCAAGGAGAAGTCCATATATGAGGAAAACCACAATGGACTTTCTTGCCTCTTGTCACACCTATTGCTCTATCTCCTGTTTCTGTCTTTTCACTGGCTGTCATTCATGCCAGGAATTCTTGCCCTCATCACACCCAACTCCAAGAATCCCTTCTTCTTAACATCCCTATTTCTGTCCAAGAGTATCACCATCCTCTCAGTCACCTAGGCTTACAGCCTAAGTGTCTTTCTCAGATTTTCATTCTCCTTCACTCCCATATCCATTCAGTTGCCAAATCCTGTCAATTCTACCTTTCGAGCATCTCTGATATATATCCCCTTGCTCTTCTCAAAGGAAGGAAGGGGTTGTTACCACCCTGATCCAGGACCACATCACCTCATGCCTGGACCATTTGATAATTTTAATAGCCTGATGTTTGGTCTCCTCGAGTCTCTCCCTACTCCAGCCCATCCTTCACTCAGCTGTCAAATTAATCTTCCTAAAGCCCAAGTCAGATCATGTCAAACCCCTTCCCCCATTCAATAAAAATTCCAGTGACTATTACCTCTAAGATCAAATATCAGTTCTTCTCCTTGGCTTTCAAAGTCCTTCATAACCTGGCCCCTTCCTACCTTTCCAGGCTTCTTATACTTTGTCACACATACATACATACATACATACATACATACATATATACATATACTCTGAGATCCAGTGATACTGACTTCCTTGCTGTTTCTGGCACACAACACCCCATCTCCTGACTCAGGGTATTTTTGCTAGTTGTCCTTCATGCCTGGAATTCTCTTTCTTTCCAAGTCTGCCTTCTGATATCCCTGGCTTCCATCAAGTCCTAGATAAAACCCCACCTGCCGTAAGAAACTTCTCCCAATCCCTGTTAATGCTCGTGCTTTCCCTCTGTAGACCAATTCCAACTTATCTCTATATTGCTTGTTTGAACCTAGTTGTTTCCTCCATTAATTGTGAGCTCTGCTGCAAGTTACTTTAACCTTATCCATAGAATCAAAAGGCTTCATCTCAGGAAAACTGGACTCAATAAAAAAATTCAATTTGAAGTCAATTTGGTTGATTCACTTGTTGGTCAAATTACTTCCTTAGTGTAATTCAAGACAAATGACAAGTCCTTAATGACTTTTTTTTTGTTCAGACCAAATTTCATTGGTGATTTCATTGGTAAAGGGTGCTCCCAGTGGGAAAATTTCACCTCCAATTTAGGTTGCCAGTCTTTCTGTGAGTCACTGAATAGGCATTGCCTCAGACAAACTGAGGCCTGGGAAAGACCTTAATTTAGAAAGGCCAAGGTCATCCACTGCATCTGGTGCCATTGCCACCCGTCTTGACTTTGGTCTTGCCCCTGGATTCTGATGACTCTGGAGGACAGGGTGAAGTTGATGACATTGTGCGACTCTGACTCACTAAAATCCCATTCACTCACAAGTCATGACATCATCCTTTCAATATCATTGGTCTTCCTCAAGAATGAAGGACGAACAACAACAACGAATTACTGCCTTAGAATGTTGCTTGGAGCACCAGGAATTTAAGGAGCTTTCCCAGTATATGCCAAATAGTAAGTAGGGCCTAAACTCAGGTCTTCTCACTTTTTATTGGCTCTTTCACCTCTCTACCACTTGTTGTATTGTTGTTATAGGTGTTGTTAAACATAATTCAGTTAATTAGCTATACTGGGTAAATGAAATCAGAATACGGGACAGTAGAAAGAGTCTAATAACAAAAGACAAGAGATCAGGGATTTTGTCTTGACTTTGCCACTGCCTGACCTTGGACAAGTCACTTAACCTCCGTGAGTCTCAGCTGCCTTCTGTATGAAATGAGGCATAAGCCTATCATGGATCATCGAACTAAAAGGAACCTTAGGGGTCATCCAGCCCAAATCTTCCAAATTCTAGTCCTATACTCCTTCCATTACATCAGAGGTGTCAAACATATAATCTATGGGCCACATTAGGTCCACAACATTCTCATGTGGCCCAAATCAGATTAAAAAATATTAGGGAAATACATTGTATTTAAAATGTATTGGGGAAATAACCAAAAATTTTAAAACACAATAAAACATATATAATGTTGATTTATGATTTTCTAAGTTAATTTGTACTATAGGCATCCTGATGTACCATTTAGTGGTCCCTGATTCTATGTGAATTTGATACAACTGCAGTGCATCATGTTACCTCTTAACTTAGATTCTCCTACAGAGCATCAAAACGTGAAAGCCCCATCTGGTCTCACAGCTCAGAATTTATGTCTCCCTATTGTCCACCACCCACTGCCTTTCTGCTGACCTGCTGGAGAACTCGAGACCTCCCAGCCAAAGCAGTAGTGTGCTCAGCAATGCCTCTCTGGGATGCTAAAGAGATCTCCTGCTTGGGGAAGTCAACGATAGGATACACCTAGAAAAGAAAAATAAGCAAAAAATAAAAGTAAACAAATTCATACCCTTAATTCTCTTTGATTTGATACAGGAAGGTTAAGATTCTTCAAATACTCAAAGGGCATCATTTGGAAAAAGGTTTAGAATTGCTTTATTTTGCCTCCAAAGGGAAAAACCAAAAGAAAGGAATAGAGGTTGCAATGAGACTAAGTTAGTCATTGTGTTAGAAGGAAAAAGCCTTTCTAAAAATTAGAGCTATCCAAATACTGAATGGGCTGCCTTGGAAGGAATGGTATTCATATCACCAGAAGTCGGCAAACAAAAGCTGAATGACTATTTGTTAGGTATGCTGTTGCAGGTAGTCCTTTAGGGTACAGATGGGAGGAGAAGACTATTAAGGATTCTTTCAACTCTGAAATTCTTTGGTTCTATGATTCACAGGTCCTTGACAATACAGAATCTATCTAGTTTAATCCATTCTTTTTATAGTTAAAAAGTGTTCTCCCCAAGTGTTTTACAAGTTACCAACATTGGACAATATAGCAAATGGTTCCCAAGCACTTATTATGGAAAAGGAGGAGGAAGAGAAGAATGAGGAGGAAGAGGGAAAGAAGGACAAAAAGAAGAGGAGGTGAATGAGGAGGAGGAGAATGGGAAAAAGAATTGTTCTGTTCATCTGAGATAAGAGTTGTAATGGACATTTGTATTAGAAGACCTGGGCTCAAATCCTAGCACTGTCACCTAACAGCCTTGAACTTCTGGCCCTGTCACTTACTTGCTCTAAACCTCAGTTTGTAAAATGGAGATAATACTTGTGTTCTCATAAAGCTGTTTCGAGGTTAGTTATTTGTAAACTGTAAAGGAATATACATATATATCTGTGTTATATATAAACATACATGCATGTATGTTTATATTACATATACATGTATGAATTTAAATCACATATACACATATGTATCATGTATATTATGTACACATGTGTATGTGTATATTGTATACATAAATATATGTGTGTCGTATGCACATGTGTATGTGTGTCATATATACACCTATGTATATGTGACACCTATACATATATGTATGTTATATACATGTATCCATATATGCATGCATACACACATGAGTGTGTGTATGTATGTATGCTTTCTTTTCTTTTCCCTTTCATACAATGGCTGGGCTGGCATGAGCCTATATATAAACAAGACTGACCTTACACAGAAATAAAATGGATGGCCACATAAGTATTTCAATGTGAAGAACACTGAAGACCCCCCCACATTTCACCAAAAACAAAAAGAAATAAAAACAATCCCTCCAATGCTTGACCTTACTTTGTGTTCAGCATTGTTCTCCCCTTGAAATCCTCTTTGAGGCTTATCTGTAGTATGGGGAATAACTCAAATTTCTAAAGACCTTTAAGGTTGTCAAAAAGTTTTGCCTTTGATGGTTCACAATAATTCTGTGAGGTAAGCAGAGAAAATGTCATTATTTCTGCTTTACAGATGAGGAAGTTAGAGTTAAAAGATGTTAGGTGATTTGCTCAGTGTCACTCAGGTAATGAGTGGCCAAGCTATCTCTGCAACCCACATCTTCTGACTCCAAAACCAGTGTTTTTGTCTATACCCCATGCTGCCTTTAGAAGAATCCCTGCATTACTCACCTTCCATGACTACTGTGTCAATAGATATAATGTATGGAAAAATAAATGACCTTTGTGTAGTGCTTTAAAATGAGCAAAGAATTATGAGCACCTTTTCTCAAATGAGACAATATATGTAATAATATCTAACAAAATTACACACACATACGCTGTTTTGCCAACTTTAAAGTGTTATCTAAATGTTAGCTATAATTATCTCATGTAATTCTCATGACAACCCAATGAGGAAGGTGCTATTATTATCCCCATTTTTCAGATGAGAAACTGAATCTGAGAGATGTTAGTTGACTTGCTCTGACTCAAACAACTAGTAAATGTTTGAGGCAGGATTCAAACCCAGGGTTATCTGACTCGAAGTACAGTCCATCCATGACACTGTGTTACCTTTACATAAAAAATCTTTGTAAACTAGGAAGTCCTATATAAATGCTGCTGCTGTTGCTGCTCTCCTGCTTTCTAAGTATAAACTTGCCTGGGAGGAGGAGTACTATGAGTTACTTAATTCCTCATAATGACTATGTTTTACGATGACATTGCAATGACACTTTGACTGGAGGAATCCAGGCATCAGGAGAGCACTGAAGAATGAAGATAGACAGTAGGTAATGAAAATAGGAGGAAACTCAGAAAAGAAACGCGTAGACTGATTTTATCACCTTGACTATTTGTCCAAGGGCCATCCCTGTATGTTACCCTTCTCTCCTTATAAAAGATTCTGAAAGGTCAGAAGAAATTTATAGTTTTTTCACTCAACAAAACCAATAAAAACCCTTGATTCCTCTCCTGTCCCAAAAGGCCACATTTTCTTTCAGTCACACAGTCAATGAAGCATGTTTAAGCATTAACTAAGTGCCAGACCCTTGGTCAGCCCTGAGAATACAAAGAACAGCGAAAACATCATCCCTGCCCTCAAGGAGCTCACATTCTAATGGAGGAAACAACATACAAACAATAAGTTACATACAAGATACACACAATGTGAATTGGAAATGATCTCAGAGGGGAAACACTAGCAATGGAAGGGACCAACAAAGGGTCTTTGCAAAAAGTGAGATTTAGTTGAATCTTGAAGAAAGTCAGGGAATCGAGGAGGCACAGATGGGGAGAGAGGACTTCCCAGACACAGGGGACAATCAGTGGAAAGGCACAGAGTTGGAGGGTGGAATGGCATGTGTGATGAGCAGCAAGAAATCCAGTTTCAAAAGAAGAAAAATTGGGCACTGTACAAAGATGGGTTTTTTAAAGACACTTTGCTTTACTTTCTTATATCTGTCCTCACCATAACATTTTCATCCTTAAATATATTTTCTCCTCTGACTTTAACCAACAACTCCTCTGGAAAGTTCATATGGTGCTCCGTGACAAACTCAAACAGGCTGTTTTTCCTGGAAGAGGAGAACAAAAGCCTGGTGGTTATGACTGGAAATTCCAAGAATTTTCTGAAAGCTACATTATTGATTCCTTCACTATCCTTTCATTGACTCAATCTGTCCTGAAACCATTGCTCTCTCTTGGAGAACTTTGCCCAAAAAGGATTCAAAACTCTCTCACAAAAATGTCTATTCTGATGGAAATTTATCTGATGGGACTAATATTAAGTTCCCTAGAACGTCAATAAACCACATAGAACATAGAGCAAAATTACAAAGCCAAAACAACCAAACATATTCCCATACTGCCCCACCCCTTCCTCTCCCCTTCACCTCAAGCTTCAATGATGGAAGGATGTCATAGGATCATAGATTTAGAATTAGAAGGGACCATAAAGGTCTCTTAGTCCATCCTTCTCATTTTATAAGTGAGGACATTGGTCACATAGGCAATAGATAGAAAGTCCCATATTTTAACCTAGGCCCTCAAACTCTAAATCCAGCATATTTTCTCATTGCTCCACATTGCCATGAATAGTAGAGTTATGCATTGGTAGGGAGAGCATAAAGAAGAAAACTGAATATGCCTAGAGATGAGGCAAATCAAGCTCTTTGGGCTTCAGTTTCTTCCTCTATAATATTGGTGTAATAGCCTGCCTGCCTGGAAGAAAAGGGTAGATAAGAAGATCTCTTGTAGACTTTTCCATCTCTAACATCATAGTATCAAAGATTTAGAGTTGGAAGGGACATAAGAGGTCTTATAGCCCTTCATTTTATAGGTCATAAAACTGAGATCCAGAGCACAGACTCTCTGATTCCAAGTCTTGCACACTCAGCAACTTACCTGCTGCTAACCCAACAATGTAGCAGTTGACTTGGAGGGATTCAGCACATGGGACATTTGTCCATAAAACTCACATGGAAATGCCCATGGAAAATAAGGTTAAAATAGTCAAAAAGCAAGGGAGCTACTGAATCCATGGGTCCCTTAAATGGTGATTCAATGAACACATTTAAAGGACCCTTTCAAACCCTATAGGAAGAGAATTTCTTGGAGGGTAGGGATAGGGATAAATTAATGTTTGGGGATTGAATTGCCTAGTCTGGCAAACTACATTGGTGAAATTAACCAGTACATTGCTAGGGTTCCACTTCACTAGACAGGTGCCAAAATATAGCCAATACCTTGCCTCCTTTCACCACTCACCAGGTGATGACCAGCTGGATGAAGTGCAATAACTTTTTCTCTCCCTTACATGTTGCACAGGTCTTGTTCCCCCTACCTGAACAGGTGCTGCACCTTTGAAAGGAAAATAAAAAGAGTAGTAGTCACATAAACATGGATCTTGATGTTTCTACTTACCTCCTGCTTATGACCAAATACTATATTCCCAATGCAGAGTTACTCAGTAGTCCTTCTTTAAATTCAACATTCAGAACCATGGCCAGAGGTGCAATCTCTCTTCATATTATAGTCATAGAAAGTAGTGGAACTTTCCCCAGCTAAACAGTGTTTTAACCATTACGGGATGTAGGTTTGGCATGTATCCATGGGGGAAGAAAGCCACTTCACCTCTCAAGTATCATTTTTTTCATCAGTAAATGTGATGTAATAAATCAGTGGATCAGCTGAATATGGTATCATCATATCTGTAATCCCTACTAAAGGGGAGTTTGAAACTGATGAATCACTTAAGTTTGGGAGTTCTGTCTGACCTAAATAAAGTAGGGATAAAACCAATTGGCTATCTAAACTAAATCTGACACCAATGTGGGGAGCCCCTAGAGCAGAAGGTCCACCAGGATGCCTAAGGAGAGAAAAAATTAGCTCAGATCAAAAATAAAGCAGGTCAGTCCTTCCAAGCCAACCAGCATTGGAATTAGACTTGGACATGGCCTAGTGGCCTTCCAGCATAGGTAAGATAAGGCAACAAAATTTTAAAAAATCAGTGGTTTCCAATTTGTGGACTATAGACTCCTGGGGGAAGGAAAGCTCAGAGTTTTTGCCAGGGGTCTTCAAATTCATGAGTAAGAAAGCATACTTTCTGTCAACTGAATAAATGATACAATGTAGCAGTTATAGGGTTGAGTTTACATTCTGGAAGACCTGAGTTCAAGTCTTGTCTCTATTACATACTAACTGTGTGTCTCTGATCAAGTCACTTATCTAATCAGTTCCCAGTCATCTATCTAAGAGAACTGTATCCATGGAAAGAATCCATTACCCAGGTGAATTCACAGGTACAAATAACATAAAAATTATACATATATATATATATACACACACATATATATGTTGCTATTTTGCAAACATGCATAAATCCTGTTGTGATTAATAGAATACATAAGTTAAAGAGTTAATGAATTCACTGTGACTTTTTCAGCATGTATTTTCTTAATCAATAGATGAATAATACCACAGATACTCTCATGTAGGAATTTGTGATATTTTTTGGCATTCGAAAGAGGTGCTTATTCTTGTAAAAGCTGGAAATTGGTGGTTTCCATGCCAGTTGTTTCTGAGACTCAGGACTTTGCCACTATTCCTCAGCTGCCCTCTCACCCTGGAAATTCCCTCAGTGCTCTGGATCTTTTCCTTTAGCACATTTGTCTACCTTTTTGGCCCTTTTCTCTCATTGCTGAGTTCCCCCTGGGACCTGAATTTTGAGGACAGGCCCAGGCCAGCCAAGCTTCATTCCTCATAAGATTCTGCTTTTGACTCTCAAGACTTTGCCACCACACCCCCATGTGGGTAACCTCCCCTCAATTTTTTAATTCTCTTTTACATGTCATATGTCCTCCATTACAATGCAAACTCATTGAGGACAGGGACTATTCTTTTTGTTTGTGTTTATATTCTTAGCATTTAGCACAGTGCCTAGCATTTAGTAGTTGTGTAATAAATGCTTTTTGCCTTGTTGCCTTGCCTAGATCACTTTTGAGGTTTCTTCCAACTTTAAATTTCTACGTTTAGGCATCTTCAGAAGTCTAAAGAATTTTTTTTAATCTCAGAAGGAAATAAAACCAAAATTTAGGAAACCATAGGTAATATGGACTTGGTGAATATTAAACTGTAATGCAAAAAAGATTCAAATCAAGAGATACTCACTGAAGTTTGTGGAGGCAATTTTGAGATAAGCTCCATAGGAGCAAATGCCATGTCTAATTTGCTTTTCTATATAAAGCTTGCACTAGCTAAGTCAATGTTTGTGGAAAGAAGAAAGGCAGGAAAGAAGGAAGTAAAAAAGGAAAGAAGGAAGGGAAGGAGGAGGTAGAGAGGGAAAGAAGGAGGAAAGAAGGGAGGAAGGGATAAAGAAAGAGAAAGAAGAAAGAAAGGAAGGAAGGAAGGAAGGAAGGAAGGAAGGAAGGAAGGAAGGAAAGAAGGAAGGGAGGGAGGGAGGAAGGGAGGGAGGGAGGAAGGGAGGGAGAAAAAAGGAAGGAAGAAAGGAAGGAAGGAAGGGAGGGAATGAGGAAGGGAGGGAGGGAGGGATGGAGGAAGGGAGGGAAGAAGGTAAGGAAAGAAGAAGGAAGTCATTAAAATTATTCATAGCTTTTAGAGGTGTGTGGTTAGATTATTCAGGGGATAGATTTAAGTGGGTTAGTTGAGGATTCTGAAGGTACTTGAGAGTATGATCTTAAACTTTGGAGGTTGATGTTATATGAAGTAATGACGGTCAAACATTCCCTCTCCCCACCCACACATCACAGACTTCAGTAGCAACTAAAGAGACCAATCTTGGTTCAGGAGGCCCCTTCATCTATGAGTATGAGGATAATATTCCAGGGTATTATGTAATCCTTAGGTTCTTATGTCCATAAACTTCAACCTGCATACACTGGCTTGATGGAAAGGCTACTTTTTGTAGTCTTGCTTTGTCCCTGTTGTCAATATAAACAGTGCCTATAAACATGAAATTAGTCCAAGAAACATGTGAATATTTAGGCCAGGATGATGATAGCTTTGTGGCAGTGCTAGAGAAGATTAGCATAACCTCTCCAGACCCTCAAATCTGTATTTCTAACAGATGCCACTAGCATTAACTGCCTCTGCAGCATCCATTCTGAGTTTATCATAATGCAGAAATCAGTAGCCATTAACACTGATTCAGAAAGCTTTCAGTACCGTTGTTAACTTCAGCAGGCTCCGAGTTGTAAGAATCACAGCTGTGATTACCTGCAATGGCATCTCCATGGGGCTGCATAGCACAATCAAGAGATGTGGATTTACATCCAGGCTCTGCCTTGATCAAGATGCATGACCTTGGGTGGTAATTCTTGCACTATTGGCTTTCTTGTACCACCCTTGGCTTTCCTTGGAAACAAATATACCTCTATAGAATAGAAGTAAGGTCACAATTTGATGATGGGCAAGAAAGGAACTAGATTCGGAAGCCATATCCTCACATAAACAAAATAAGAAAATAACAGTAGCATTACAAAATACCTTAAGCTAGAGAACCCTAGAAAGTTTTCACAGGACCTCTTCTCTTCCCTTCCTTTCTTTTCTCTCTCAAACACTGCCTTTCCTCCTGCCTCATTTTCTTCTTTCTCTTCCCTCCTTCAATTTCTTCCCTTTCTCCCTTCCTCTCCTTTATTCCTATCTTTCCTTTCTCAATGTCTGCTTTTCCTCTTACCTTAATTTCTTTCTTCTCTTCCATTCTTTCTTTTATTAACTCTCTTTCTCCCTTCCTTCTTCTCCTTCCTTTCCTGCCTCAATCTGAATTTCCTCTTGCCCTAATCCTTTCCATCTCTTCCTTCCTCCTTTCTACCTTTCTTTCTACTTTCCTTCTTTCTCTCCTCCTCCCTTCCTTCATGCTTTTCTTTCTTCCTACCTTAATCAGTACCTTTCCTTTGAACTCAATTCTTTTCTTCCCTCCATCATTTCCTCCATTTTCTCCTTTTCCCCCTTTATTTTACATTTTGTTCATTCACCAGGCATTTATTGGATGCCTATCAGATAAAAGGTCCAATACTGAAGGAATATTGAAACAAAAAACATCGCCCCTATATTTAAAGAGTTTATTATCTAGTACGGAGATTGGGTATGTTTATAAATAATACAAAAGAGAGTATGAAAGATGCAATAATATGTGCATTGTGCTTTCAGAGTTCAGAAATGTGAGAGATTATTTCTGGGTAAAGAATCATAAAGAACTTTTATAGAAAAGGTGGCATGAGTATATCTAAACTTTTTAACAGATGCTAACCCTGTTAGATGCTGCATAAGATACAAAGAAATATAAATCTTGATCCCTGCCCTCACAGAGTTCAGAGTATAGTCATGGGAGAAGGATTTTAGCGCATGAAAAGCTAGACAGGATATGAGGTGACATACCAATGGGTTGAGAATTAGGTGATTTAGAGCAGAGATATCAAACTTGTAGATCAAGGCATAAAATTCCCAAGTGTGCCAGAACCAGATTAAAATGTAATTGGAAATTATTTAACAAAATAAATAAAAATACAAAACAACACAGATAATACTAATTTGTGGTTTTCTAAACCAATATGTGGTCTGGAGAAATTTATTTCTATTTGAGTTTGGTATAATTGATTTAGAGAATGTTTTAGAAATCCAAAGATCATTCACAGGACCTTCTCAGATAGCCAGCTACCTAGATGGGAACTTCATTTTCATTATCAATACTAACCTATTTCAGTTTACATACCTCTTCCGCCCAGAACCAGAGCACACCTGACATCGTCGGGACTGCTTAGCCTTGCGCTTGGCCCCACTGCAGGAAGCACATCGCATCTAGAAACAAAGCATTCAAGTCAGCACTTGGACAGCACCAAATCATTTATTAGGAGTCATGAAGAAACATGGTGGGTGAGGCAGGGAAGCACATGTTATGGGGGTTGGATAATGTTAACACAGCTAATACAGCCTAGCTCATGGTTACCTACAGGTCAAATTACAACTTTGAGACCTGACTGCCATTGATTTATGTGAATCAATGAACTGTTTTCATAGAATCTTAGACTTAGAGCTAGAAAGCACTTTAGGGGTCATCAAGTCCAACTTCCTTCTGTCTATAAAGGACCTTAGAGGCTAACTACACCAATATCCTCATTTTACAAATGAGAAAACTGAGGCCCAATGAAGTTAATGACTTGCCCAAAGTCACACATAATTCACAAACATTAGGAGCAGGATATGAACCCAGGTTATCTGTCTCCAAATCCAATACGTTTTCCACTGTACCATGTTATCTCTCATGAATCATAGCGAGTTGAAACTTTAAGAGATCATAATCCAACCAGATCACTTTACTGTTAAGGAAACAGCAAGTCATAGGCATTCGATGATTTTCCAAAAGTAAAAAGTGGTAGAGTTAAAACTCAAGACCAAGTGCTCAGACCCCAGGGTCAGTCAGTGAAGTTTCTACTCCCCTATGCCCCACACTCAGTTTCTGGATACCCTGACTTTATTTGATTTCCACCATGTGACATTTGTTCTCTCCTACTGTTCTTTGCATGACTTAACCCAAGTTTAATCTCAGGTCACTAAAACCAACCTCTCAGGTAAAGAATTGGCCAACACTTCAAATGTGGATGGCCCAAACTCACCATGCCAGCTCCATGGCATCCACTACACTTGTACCGTCCTCGTCCTTGGCATTTGTGGCAATCCTGAAAGCATAACATTTTCTGTGGGTGAAACTGCCCAAATAGAGGGACTTGCTACAATGTTCCCAAAGATCTCTGATGTCATCACTGTGGTTATTCCCTCACTGACATATATCTCAAAATTTCATTACTAAGTAGAGGTCCCTCATGGGTTGCTGTAGTCAAAAAAAATCATCTCCTGGTGCCCAACATTCTTCTAGCAAGTTTCTCCATGCTTAACAAGGTAGATCACCTTCCACCAGTCCTGTCCATAGATGTTTGTTTTAAGCCTTTCCAGCTCAGTAGGATCTGCCAGGGTCCATGTTCCAATGCCAAAATCTTTAAGAAATCTCCTCTATGCCATTATGATACATGAAAAAACAACTTTTATGGACTAGCACCCAATTTGCAGATACCTATACATTTGAGTAGTTCTGTGCTTAGAGTGAAAAGGATGGCCTGATTTCAAAACAGGTGGCCTCCAAAGAGTAACTACTCTCAACACTTTAATAGGCATTCCTCTTTTTATTTAAATTAAATTTATTTCAATTAACAAAAACCTATTTTCTCTCCCTCCCCCAATAAAAACACATGGAAACCAAACCCTTGTGACAAATAAGCTTAGTCAAACAAAATGAACTCTTGCATTGGTCATGTCCAAAATATGTGTGTGTGTCTCATTCTGCAGCTTGAGCCCATCACCTCTCTCTCAGGAGGTGGACAGCCTGCTTCATCAGTGCTCTGTAGCCATAATTGGTCATTGCATTGATCAGAGTTCTTAAGATTTTCAAAGTTTGGATATTCTTTACCTATACAACACAGATTATTCCTCATACAAACAATAAAGGAAAAGAGAAGCTGTGTTCCCAGACTACCAAGATCTATCCCAGAAAGCATTTTCCCATTGAAATCTTGTCAAAGGTAATGATTGGTTTCGCAGGTGAGCTTATAACTAGCTCCTTAACCTTTCGTGTAGCTGAAAGTCTCTTGGAGCATAAGCCATTGGTCAGCTGGAAGCAATCTATATTTGGCAAAGAGGAAGAAGCTACTTTTTCAACACTGAGTGAATAAGATCATTTATTCTGAAAACAAGGCACTGAGCAGTCTCCTGGGAAAAGACCATGCTAGAAGCAGTACGATATACTGAACTTAATGAGATTCCCAAGTTCTTTGGTTAACTCTGATTTTATTCAGCATAAGGACAGGGACTGGGATTGTGATTTCATTAGTGTAGGGACTAGGATGAGGAAAATCCCTCTATTGACGCAGATCAGTACCTTCCCTTCAGGTGTCTTAAATAAATGCCCATAACAGTGAAGTTAAATAATTTGCCACAGATCATATAGCCATATGAGGATTCTATTATTGGATGGAAGTATGGAAATTTTCCTCATGGAGACAAGAGTACATTATAGTATCTGTTGCATGGTTTATAGCAGAACTCTATTGGTCAAATGTGGGCAGATATATGATGGCAGGAGAGAGAGAAAATACTCAAGAGTTACTTCTGGAAGACTCCAGGCTTACTGAGTGTTACCCAATGACTGGGTCAGTGAAGTTATAATGCAGATTCTCTTTTCCCTTTTATTCCCTTCATAATATCTGTGGAGATGTTTTAGCTTGATTATGGATTTTCAATTGTCATTTATTCCTAACACTTCAGCTTTATTCTCCTACCTGCCTATCATTTTCCCCCCTCTTGCAAAACATCTGTGAATGCAGTAACCACAGGAGTGTGTGATTTTACTTTTAAAAAGAACAACTGTAAAGCAAGGTATATTTTTCTAATGACAATACTTACCCCTCACCTACTATTATGCCTATAATGGATTTGATTTCAGATTAAAGTGGGATATGTTTTTCCATGAGGAATTACTTCTCAGTCTAAATATGTGGTCACCTCTTAATTTTTTTAGCAAAATTGTATTGATATCTTTTGTTTTTATATCACATGCATTTCCCAATATACTCCATCCCCCTTCCAAAGAGCCATCGCCTACAAAAATTAACTTTAAAAAGAAAATACTATACTTCAGAAAAACCAATACATTGAAAAAAGTCTGATATTACATGCATCATTCCAAACCAATAGTTCACCATCTATGAAAAGAAGAGGAAGTAGGGAGAGATGTAGCTTTCTTCTTAAAAGATCTCATAGTGAGGAAATTTTCAACACCTGGTAAAACTCTCAGACATTAGAAAATCATTATATATGAAAGACCATTGTTCAGTCAGTCAATTAACATTTATTAAGTCCCGACTGTGTGCCAGGCACTGTTGTTGTTGTTGTTGTTTGTCCTTTGTTCTTGAAGAGGACCATGACATCGGAACGTGATTGCCATGACTTGCAAGTGAATTAGATTTAAGTAAGGTAGAGCTGTGCAAAGTCGCCAGCCTCACTTTCTTCTCCAGAGCCATGTGGATCCAGTGGCAAGATATAGATCAGGATGACTGGAGGTGGCCCCTGGCAGGCACTGAACCAAGCATTGGAGATACAAAGAAAGGTGAAAGAGAAAAAATCCCTGCCCTCAAAAGGCTCACAGTCTAATGTTGTTATACTTGATCTCTCTGGCTGCTAGTGCTCTAAAATTATTTTGTCTATTTTGTATTATATATACACATATACATCACATACATATATATATATATCTATATCTATATATAGATATAGATATAGATATAGATATAGATATAGATATAGATATAAAAGCATATGTTGTCTACCCTATCTAGACTGTAAGCTCCTAGAGGGCAGGGACTGTTTTGCTTTTGTCTTTGTGTGTCTGTAGTCTACACTGAGTCTGAAAAACGCTAAGCACTTGATAAATGCTTGCTCATTGATTGATGCTTATTGTCACATTACCTTAACTAAGGAAGAATGAGGTACTTGAAATTTCTTAGTCTCCTCCTGAAACATGGGAGGGACGTGCACTTTGATGTCCCAAGGCCTGGGAGATGCTCCTTTTTTCGGGCCATCTACTGAGTGATCTAAATAAAAAAAAGGAAATCTCTGTGAATCTGTGACCTCGCCAACTGTGGTTAAATTACTTAGAATTAATTGTAAGCTAAGTCTAGTTTGTAGATTGGGATGAAGTTTAGGGTTAAAAGTGAGGGTTACGATTAAAGTTAGAATGATGGTTAGATTTAACTGAACTACTTCTCCAGGGAGTTTGTGAATAGAGTATTAGTTAAATCAGTTGAACAAATAAAAGATACAATATTATGAAGCACACATGCTGCACGTTGAAGAACAGTGCCCAGAATTCATCCATGAAGGGGGGCGGGAGGGTATGGGGTAAAAATCTCCTCCCATTCAGTTCCTGAAATTCTACCACTTCTACTACCTTGGAGGTTTCTTAATAAAGCTGCTTTGAGGAATACGATTTAGACTATATAGCCACTAGGGTACTTTCCATCTCTAAAAACCTAAGCTTCTGTAATTCTTGTGGATCTTGGGAGCTTTTCAGAATTTGGATGTAAATTCAAATACTCTTAGTAAAATAAAAAAACACTTTAATTATCAACTAATACATTAATGAATATGAGTTTTCCACAAGCAGAGAACAAGAAAGGCTCATGGAGGAAAGGGTATTTTGTGTATCAGAGTAACCAGGACATGGTAGATTGATGGTGGAGGGCAGGTGGAAAAAAAAAAGAAACAATTAACTGGGGGTAAAATTGCTGTAAGTTTCTCTAGTAAAGGTTTCATTTACAAGCTATATGAGGAAGTGATTCCAATTATCAGAATAAAAACCATTCCCTGATTAATAAGTCATTGATGGATATAAATAGGTAGTTCTCAATTTAAGAAATCCAAGTACATGAATTAGTGCTTCTTATTACTAGTAATTTGAACAATGCATATTAAAGCAACTTTGAGGTTCATTTCATATTCATCAGCTTGGCAGAGCTGACAAAAAGGAAAAATGTTGGAGGAACTAGGAGGAAATAGGTGCACTGATGCTAAGTGGGTGGAACTGTGAATTTGTCCAGCCATTCTGAAAAGAAATTTGAAACTATGCCCCTAAAGTTAGTAAACTGTTTGTGCCCTTTGACCCCAAAATAACATTGTTAAATCTATATCCCAAATTGTTCAAATAAAGAGGAAAAGGTCCCATACATACAACAATATTTATAGCATCTCTTTTGTGGTGGAAAGAACTGGAAACTAAGGGAGTACCCACGAATTGAGGAACAGTTCAATGAATTATGGCAAGTGAATGTAATAGAATCTGTCATGGCATAAGAAACAATGAAAAGGGAGTTTTCAGAGAGCTGGGAATACTTGTATGAAGTGAAATAGAATGAAGTGAGTGAAACCAAAAGAATGATTTATGCTATAATAATAATAATATCATAAATTCAAACTTCAGAAGATATAAGAACTCTGTTCAATGCAGTTATCAACCATCATTTCAGAGGTTCAAGGATGAAGAATGCTACCTACCTCATGACAGATAGTTGATGAGCTAAATATACAAAGACACATGTTTGGACATATCCAAAATGGGAATTGTTTGCTAGACTATGCATGTTTGTTACAAGGGATTTTTTTTTGCTTTTGTTTTTCCAATGGAAATAGGAAGGAGAGAAAAATGGGGTTTTGTTCATTAAAATAAATTAAATTTTTAAAAAGGAAAGAATTAAAGACAGACCTCAAAAACCCATTCTGAAACTTTGGTTCCAATCGACTACCTCAATAGAAGGGCAAGAAAATCTTTATCAACTCACTCTCTCATTTCTGCATTTTATAAAAGTACATTTTCCTCCATTGGATTTCTGTACACCAGAAATTGGCTGTCTCCCTAGATTTGTGCCTTACTTTTCAAGGTTTATTGATGGAGCAGCTTCAAGGAAACATACAGTGCCTAGAATTTAGTGGTTTCGAAAGTGATTAAATCCTGCCCCAAGTTAAATAAGCACTGCTCCATAGTAATAACTCACATTTCTATAAGGCATTAAAGGATTTGAAAGAATTTTCCTCATAACTGTCCTGTGAGGAAGGCAGCACAAATATTGCTATTCTCATCTTAAAGAAATAGAAACTGAGCCTCAGAGAGACAGTTGCCTCTAAACATAGAGATGGACAAAAATAAGAGAAACAACAGTAAGAATCCTAACAGCAGAGATTGTTGAGTTCGGGCTTTTTATTCTGAGCACTTAGCACCTTGCACATAATAGGTATTTAATCAACATTCTGCATTAGACTTAAAATGAACTTAAAGAGCATCTCAAGACATGATCACTTAGTAGGAGATACTTTAGAATACTTGCCACTAGGCAGTCATACCCAGAAAAGTACCCAAATCTCCCAATTCCCAGTCCAGTATTCATTCTTCAGGACCACCCTAACTGAGTAAGTATGCTGATAAATGTTTCACAACCTGCTCTGGAGAAGGAAAAAATATACCCAAAATATATATTTTAAGTTTAATCTGCATTAACATTTTCTCTATCATTTTCTTAAGTCCAAACAACAAAACAAACCAAGCCCTAATTCGTGTTGTTGTTTAGTTATTTCAGTTGCGTCCAACTCCTTGTGACCCATTTTAAGGCTTTCTTGGCAGAGACACTGGAGAGGTTTGCTGTTTCCTTCTCCAGTTCTTTTTACAAATGAGGAAACTGAAGCAAAAAGGGTTAAGTAACTTGCCCAGGGTCACATGGCTAGTATATGTCTGAGGCAAGATTTAAACACATGAAGATGAGTATTATATGAGCATATATGAGTATTCTAAGCGCAGTGCTCTATCCACTAATTTGTAGCATTTGCCAATTTCTGATATGTAAATGTTCAAACTGAAAATTTAGCATTCAACTCTCACTAGCTGGTAAGAACTGGCTTTCAAACACCCCTGAGGATAAGGGTTTTTTGGGGAGAAGGATAAGTTGTTCATAATTAAATTGATATCTCAACATCTACTTACTAGTATAAGGTTGAAATGTCCATTCACTTAACCTGGATTCACTAAAGGTCTCCAGTCGATACTAGAAAAAAAATCCATAATCATGACCTTTACAAGAAAAAAATTATACAAAGAAAGTAATGTCTACTTGATGCTGCCTCTAGGAATTAGCTAGAAGTTTCTTTTCACAAAGCCATTTATGTATGGTCCAAATGGCTCCTCAATAAATGATTCAAATCCCTGTCTTGTAATAGCCCAGGATGCCTTCAGTGCCTTTATGTCATATGAAATGCTTCCTTTCCCCAAAGTCTCAAAACTGAATTAAATTTAAGGTTCAATTTTAAAAAATGAACCCATTCTATGCAGCATGTTTTAGGGCAGCCGTGTGTTGGTAAATATTTAACTGACTCTGAAAAAAAAAGGCCACATTATACACTTTTATGTTTAATCTGTTATTGACACTTTGTCCATCACTTTCTTAAGTCTAGATAGTCATCAAAACAATAAATCAAGCCCTAATTTGTAGCATTTGTGATTTAATGATCCCACTAGAAATTTAACCATCAGCTCTTGGTATGAGTGACCAGTACAGCCCTATTGGAGGGGAGGAGAAGGTGATATAATAAAACAGCATATCACATTTGGAAAGCTGGGGATCATTGTTCTAAGGGCCATGACTTAGAAGATCACTGAAGTCCCATTTCTTTATCCTTATAGTCATCTCAGGAAACTTTAAAAAGCCCTGCACATACGGACTTAAATGATTCACCAAGAAGGAACACCTGGGCACTGATTCTTTGCTATTAGTCTGATGTATTGTAGGGCATTGGGAAGTTCAGTGATTTTTCCTTAGTCATGCATCTAGTATGAGTCAGAAGCAGGATCTGAACCATGATTCTAAACCAAGTCTTTTAACCATTATGCCATGCTGTCTCTCAGACTTATGCCCTGCTTTGACCTCAATGCTTGTTGGCTTTGTCTGGATTGGAACCTGATCCCTGTGGTCCTCCCAGATTGTACCCATTTTCCCTACATGATATCACCAATATTTCCCTGACATGACTCCCAGGAGTGGCCCCAGGCACAGAAAGCATCTAAACATTTCTGCTTTTTGCCAAGAACTGGGTGGTGCTCATATCTCATCCCTCCCAGCAGTGGTCAGGAGAGGCCCTCAGAGCTCCTTGATCAGGAAGCCTACTTACTCTGTACAGCATCTGTTGCCTCAGATCCTGAATGACCAGCTCCCTGGCTGCTCGGTTGCCATAGCAACACTTGGAATTCACAAAGCTCAGAAGGGCATTCCGGGCCATCTCCTCTGTCATGACAGGAATGCTATGGGAGGAAATAGGTCAATGGAACCAGCAGGCATCCAAATGCCAATTCTCCAAAGAATTCCTAACGGTTTACCAGCAGTCAGGCATTGATGATAGAAGAATAGATAGGGTAAAGGCCTCATCATCACTTACAATCTGATAACAGGAAAGCAAGTTACACAAATAACAATGATACAAAGAAAATTCAGAGGTTCCAAAAGAGTATTATGGAGAGTTTTAGAAGGAAGAGATTCTGTTCACCTGGGAGGGAAGGACAGAAGAAATGACACCTCAGCTGGACCTTAAAAGAATACTTGGCCTTCAGCAGACCTGTTGGAAGACTATTGTAATAGCCCAGAGAGATGAAAAGTAATCAGCTGTGAGAAGCAAGGAAAAAGGAGAGGTCAGAGATAACCCCAAGGTTTCAGACTTTGGAGACCACAAAACTGCTCACTGACACCAGAACACTTCCTGAAGTTTCTCACCTTCACACCTTAACTCCCTACAACTTGAATGCCCCCTTCTTGGTTTGTTGAATTCTACTCCTCCTTTAAAGCTCAATTAAAATGCTGTTTCCTCCAGAAAGTGTTCTCCATTTCCCCCAGTTAATAACAATCTTTGGTCCCTTGAATGTCACAAATTAGCCTTTCTAATGCACTTGAGATTGGGAAGGGACTTGTGATGCCTTTGATATAAGAAACTCCCTCTACCAAAGCACATCAGAAATTTCTCTACAACTTATAGTCCTAGGGAATTGCCTGGGGCCTTGAGAGGTTAAGTGATGTGTACAGTGTCACAGAGCCCTTAGGTGTCTAAGGAAGAACCTGAACCCAATTCTCTACCCACTATACCATGCTGCCTCTTATCTAATGTGCTTATCAGGTATTATCATTATTTGTGCACCACATCCCTCTACTAGACAATAAACTCCATGAAAGTAGGGACTATGTTTAACCTACACTGTGTATCTCCTCTGGTACCTAGCATGGGAACTCTGCTCACAACAATAAGTGTTTGTTAAAATATATTGTTTTAAGAATTGTAAGAGATATTAGTTCTCTGGACCCCCTGATGAGAAGTAATAGATTAGTTTTATAAGAGTAGAGGGATCATAGTTTTAGAACTAAAAGGGGCCTAAAAAGCCATCTAGTCTAATAATTTCATTTTACAAAAGAAGAACCAAGGCCTGAAAAGTAATTTATTCAAAGTCACACAGTTATCAAATATCATAGCCAGGGCTGGAATGCAAGGAGTCATAGGATCTTACAGCTAGAGTTGGAAAGGATCTCAGATGCCATCTAGACCATTCCTTCTTATTTTACAGATGAATAAACTAAGCCCAGTGGCAGCTAGGTGGCACAGTGGATAGAGTGATGACCCTGGAGTCAAAAAGACTCATCTACCTGAGTTCAAATCTGGACTCAGACACTTACTGGTTGTGTGACCCTGGGCAAGTCACTTAACCCTGTTTGCCTCAGTTTCCTCATCTGTAAAATGAGTGAGAGAAGGAAATGGCAAACCACTATAGTATCTCTGCCAAGAAAACCCCAAATGGGGTCATGTAGAATTAGACACAACTGAAACAGCTCACCACTAACAACAATAAAACTAAGCCCTACAAAGGTTAAGGTTAAGTTAATTATCTAAGATAGCATGGTAGTAAGCAATTAAAGTGAGATTTGAACTCACATCTTCCGACTCCAGAACCAGTTATTTAATAAAGATTGATTGAGCACCTACTATATGCCTAGTCCTATAGTAGATGTATGAGTCATAAGATCAGTATAATAAACAAGTTCTGCCCTCCTGGTACTCCCATCCATCCTACTTGTTGAGACAAGCCAACTCACATTGTAAGTTAAACAACACAAGATAGAACAGGAGATGTCACAAGATGGTCAGGGTAAAGTTAAATGATTGATACTCTAGGAATCCACAAGAGGGAAAACACACAACTGTTGGGAATAGCCAGGCAAAACTTCATAGAGAAAACAGGAATTGAAATAGGTTTTGAATCATAGGAGTCATTATAGGCGGAGAAGAAGGAAAAAGGAAATCTTGCCCCAAACCTCCATTTGAGGAGTCTCAGCTCTGACTATGGACCTTTCCTTATGGCCCTGCTTCCAAGGACCTTTTCTCCACACACCCCCTTTTCAGCTCTCTTGCATGTACTGTCTTCCCTATTAAATTATAAGCTACTTGAGAGCAGGGACTGTCTTTCTTTTTGTTTGTACTTTTATTCTCAGAATTTAGCACAATACTTGGAACACAGTAAGTGCTTAATAAATGCTTTACCTAATCCAGCAGTTTTCAAATTTTGGGTTCTCAAGATACTTTTACACCCTTAAAATTATTGAAGAGCTTGGATTTTATGGGTTCTATCTAGTGATATTTGCCATATTAGAATTGTTCTAGTATTATTATGAAAATCATTTTGACCTCATGGACCCCTTGAAAGGATTATGAGGACTCCCAGGGACCCTAGCACACATTTTGAGAATCACCCACCTAATCAATAGAACATAGTCCAAGCAAAGACTAAAAAATTCAGTCTCAATAATAATAACTAGAGTTGTTTTTCAAAGTGCTTCTCTCATCTCTATGAGGTAGCTAGTACAGATACTATTTTCCCCATTTTACAGATGTTGAAAATGAGGCTCACAGAGGTTTGATTTGCCCATGGACTCAGAGCTAAGTAACTGAGGCATGATTCTAATCTAGATCTTACTGACTTCCAGTAAAATGTTCTCTTTCTACCATTCCAGGATGACTCACGCAAGGCCAGAGCCATACAACTCTAATTAGAAGGGTGATAAGAGTGGAAGTAGTCTGTGCCTTACAAAAAAGTGGAGGAAAATCCAAAGTATTACAATAGCCCATTATTTCCCTACTGGGCTAACTTCACCAACAGGGTAGTGCAATCTAGGATTCAGGAGGAGGAGGTAAGGAAGTATTCCTAGCAAATTGTTGATCTGGAGCTCCTCTAGCATCAGAGGATTCAGTGTTAAGATTCCATTGACCCTAATTACCTGTGTGACCTTGGGTAAGTCACTTCAATTCGCTGGGCCTCCAATTCCTTAACTATAAAATAAGGGTACTGGTCTAGATAGCTTCTGAGGTTCTTTCCTCTCTAGATATAAGACCCTGGGATCCTGGACTATAGTTCTGGGTTTTTATCAAATACAAAGTGCTTTGAGATCTCCTGTGATGGCTTTCTATGGGCAATATCCTATTCCAGAAACTCAGAAAAATAAGTAGCCCCTCACCTGTGTTGCAGAAATATCGGCCGGTTCCTCTGATCACTGAGTTTCCTCAAGGATGTTGAAGGTGGTTGACCTGGATGAAAAAGAGATTAGAAACCAGTTCTTCACCGTCTCTATTGGAAACTGCCCATATGTCCCTCAAAATGTTTCACACCTTTCAAGTTAGTTTGTTCTCAAAGGCTGTGCGCCTAATGCAACGGACACAGGTAAGATTTGGAGTCTTAGAATCCCAGTTCAAACGCTGACTCTGGCACTTACTATGTATCCTTGAACAAGCATGCTATTTACTCTTGAACATCTCTCAGAGAGTGAACAGAGGACCTTGTCCCATCTCTTCCCCCCCCCATCAAGTGATAGCAGAAAACTCCAAAGTTGATGGATGCTATTCATTGCCCTGAGGTTTCTTGGCTTTTGTGTTTGGCGTCATTAACCCTACTTAATGTCCTCTTGTAGGTAAAGGAGCAGATCATGGAAGACAAGGATCCCAAACTAACATAGTAACTTGGTTTCTGAACTACATCAAATACTTCTTTCTTTGCTTCTTTTTCTGATTCCTCCACAGTAAGTCAAAGATGTTGATCCATGAGCTACTCCAGATTGATAGTGTAAGTGCATTTGATGATGAGTGGGATAGAATCGGAATAATACCTCCCTGGCCATTGTCAATTTCATTCATTCAAGCCCATTCATTTCATACACACACACTTCACAGGAATGGATTTATAAGATAAATTGGACTTGCCACCATCTTGAAAAGGCCAATCGTAGCGTGCCAGTTGTTCTAGAAGTTCAACAGGAGGAGCCAGGGGACTCTCAGCTTCGTAACTGAGGTCCATGATACCTGCCAAAAGAATCAGCCAGCATGAAGAACTGACAAAGAAATGTTACCTGGCTACATTTGTAATATCCCACTGTCTCTAATTTATCTCCATGGACCCAACCTGGGAATGATGAGATGGAATCCAATGGCCTGAAGCTGCAATAGAAATGACCTTCAGAGTCCTGCCCCTGACATTCCCTCAATAGTTCCCCACCACCAGGCCTAGGTCAGCCTGGCTAAGCAGCCTGAGGAGTCAGACACTGACTACATACATTAGAAGTCACTCTTGATTCACAGAACCTCAGAATTTCAAGATTGGAAGGGCAGACAGCTAGGTAATGAGTATAGGGTGGAGAATCAGGAAGATGTGAGTTTGAATCTTACTTCAGACACTTACTGTGTTTCCCCCAAGCAACTCATTTAAGCTCCCCAAGCCTTGGTTTTTCTCATCAATAAAATGGGGATGTACCTCACAGTATTGTAGGGAGGATGAAATGAGAAGATATTACATGTTGTAAAATGTCACACAGACCTTAAAGTACTAAATAAGTGCTGTCTACTCTCTTCCTGAAAGATCATTTAGTCCAAGGGTGGGGAACCAAGACCTCCAGGCCACATGTGGCCTTCTAGGTCCTCAGGTGTGGCCTTTTGACTGAATCCAAACTTCACAGAACAAATCCCCTTAGTAAAAGGCTTTGTTCTATAAAACTTGGGTTCAATCAAAAGGCCACCAAGGACCTAGAAGGCCATGGGTTCCCCACCCCTGTGACCAACTTGTACCCAACCAATAATTTATATGACATGTAATAATAAATAATAATAAAAATAAGTAATAATAGTTAGCATTTATGTAGCACCTTCAGGTTTGAAAAGCACTTTACATATGGCATCTGATTTGATCCTCACAAGAACCCTGGAATTTAGGTACATTTATTGCCTGCATTTTAGTCATTCAGTCAATAAATATTTATTAAGGGCCAAAACTGAGGCAAACAGAGGTTAAATGATCGCCCCAGGATCACCCAGCAAGGGGGCAGGTGGGGCAGGATTCAAATTCAGATAGCTTTCTGATTTCAAGGCCTGCTCTCTGCCCATGATGGCACCTCATTGCCTCCCATAGCCATCTAGTTTATGCTTAGAGACCTCCAGGGAGATGGTGGCAACACATTCTCCTTTGAGACAGCTCTCAGGGTTAGGAAATTTTCCTGATATCTAACCTAAATTGTCTCATTACAACTTCCACCTAGTGCTCTGAGGTCCATTCTTTGGAGGGTAAGCTCCTTGAGGGCAAAAACTGTCTTTTGCCTCCTTTTGTATCTCCAGTAGCACAGTAGGGTAGCTAAGTGGTACAATGAATAGGGTGACAGGCCTGGAGTCAGGAGAACCTGACTTCAAATCCATCCTCAGATACTTACTAGCTGTGTGACCCTGGGCAAGTCACTTAACCCTGTTTGCCTCAGTTTCTTCATCTGGAGAAGGAAATGGCAAACCACTCTAGTATCTTTGCCTAGAAAATCCCAAACAGGGTCACAAAGAGTTGGACATAACTGAAAAATGACCGAACAACAACAAACTTAGCACAGTCTGGCACATAGTAGGAGTTTAATAAATGTTGGCTGATTGATTGATTGATTATAAAAAAAAATGGTCTCATTCTCTTCCGTAACAGAGCTTTTCAGATACAGGAAGAGTAACAGTTTGCCTCCCTAAATCTTCTCTTCTCCTGGCTAATGTGTGCTCTCCTGGTAGAGAAGCCATATTAAAACATTTTAAAATTTTTTTATATTGCATTTTAGTATGTCACAAGCTAAAGAAAGTGTGTTTCACCCTCTCCATGCCCAGTTAGGCATCTATCTGTCCAATTGCAACACTCAATCCCAGAAACATAGATATGTATAGATAGGTATATGTCCATAGATACATCCATATTTTCATATATGTGTATGTATGTGTATACGCAGAGATAGATAGATTGATTGACTGGCTGATTGATAGATATCCATACCCAGTCACCCCCACACTAGTTCTTCCCTTCTCTCTTAACCAGGGTTTTGCTGTACCATCCATACAGTTTAATCCAACCCTTTCTGTCTCTTAGAATCCCAAGCTTTCTTCAAGACTCAAGTGATACCTCCTACACCTGTAGTTTCCCAGTCTTCCCAAGGGTTGAAACTGTCCTTCCATTTTTTTTAAATACAGGATATCCCAGAAATAGCTTAATCCTGCACTAACATTTTTGGGACACCCTGTATCTTTTTTTAATGTATTTTGCATTTATCTGTGTATTTGTTTCAGCCAGTAGAATATAAGTTCCTTGAGGTCAGATAGTTTAAATAACTTCACCCAACCAATACAAAGTAAGCTTCTTCAAGACAGGGGCTAATCTATTTTTTGTCATTGTATCCCGAGTGGCTAGCCCAGGGCTTGGCATAAAGTAGGTGATTAATAAATGATTGTTGATTGATAGAGAATAAATTTTCAGCTCTACTTTTATAATGGCTATAGCTATGCCTTTAAAAAAATAATAAAGGGGGGATAGGTGCTCAGTGGTCACTAAGTGGACTTCACTTGACCTTCACTTTACTTCACTATCACTTAATTGGGGTGACCTGGGACTCACCACACAGTCTCTGGGGAGGCAGGTCAGTATTGTGAGAAATGCCCCATCTCTGGAGTCAGAGGATTTGCATGTACCATTCATTTTTCTCATTTGTGAAGTAAGGACCTTGGACAAGAAGGCCTCAGAGATCTCTTCAGATTTAAGTCTATGGTCCTCTAAGCAGAGTGTATCACTCTCTATCTTTACTCAAGATTCAAACCATTCAACCTTTGGCCAGAAAAATGGGCAGTGGAATTCAAAGTGTGTATCCAGAGGGGCAGCTAGGTGGCACAGTGGACAGAGCACCAGCCCTGAAGTCAGGAGGACCTGAGTTCAAATCCGGCCTCAGACCAAACACTTGACACTTAACTATCTGTGTGACTCTGGGCAAGTCACTTAAGCCCAGTTACCCAAAATTTTTTTTAAAAAGTGTGCATCCAAGAACTTTTCAGGTTTGAGAAAATGAAAGAAAAAACATTGAAATGAAGGTTCACGATGGCTATGTGAACAACTTAAGTAGAATACTGTTTTCTACTTAATGAAAAAGTGAAGCTCTGAGATTAAGTCATTTGCTAGTTGTCCCAGAGCCGGTCCCTGGCAATATGTCTTTCCTAACTTTTGAGGCAGTCCCAGGCCATCTAACAGAATCTCAGAGTTGGAAGGAATAAGTCTCCTCATTTCTCCTTAAGAATGTTCACTGGCTCCCCACTGCCTCCAAGATAAAACACAGACTCCTCTGGTTGGCATTTATAAGCCTTTGTATTCTGACTCCTGCCAATCCTTGGCCTTTTATATATTGCAGTCATCCCTCTCACATACTCTAAGGTATGTTTACATGTGTCCAGGTTATAGTTCAACTCAACCTAGACTCTTACCCTCGGCTATAGTAATAACAATAATGATAATAATAATAATAACTAGCATTTATATAGCACCTCAAGGGTTACAAAGCACTTTACTTACAATAATTAATTTGATCCTCACAACAACTCCAGCTAGGTGCTATATTAGGAAAGTGAGGAACAGAAAGATTAAGTGACTTGCCAGGATCACACAGCTATTAAGTAATTATCCAAGGCAAGGTCTTGAACTCAGTACTTCCAGAATCCAACTCTCACACGCTATCCAGGGTACTACCTACCTGCCTGAAGGAGAATAAAAGCCACTTTAGGGACAGAGGCGGTTTCATTTTTCTTTGTATCCCTAATGTGTGCCTAGCACTTAGTAGGTGTTTAATAAGTATTTATAGAACCGCTAGGAAAAATTTCTGTCGGGATCCTGAGGTCTGTTAGAATTCTGAATTAGGTTGTTGAGCTTGGATGTCAGAAAAAGAGAGGTAGAGGAGGAGGATGGGACCTCTGGCCCAGGGCCCTGAAATATGGGGTGGGAGTGATCGTCCCCTCTACCATCCACACAACTTAATCTTGTGGGGCTTGCAGGGTGATCACTCTTTAAGTCCCAGAACACTGGCCCAAAAGGCTCAATGGTAAGTCCCTTTCCAGAAGCTTTGTAGTACCCCCTACCATGTCAGCATTCCATATACATATGTGTGTATGTGTGTTACATATATATATATGCTTGTATATGTATATGCTTGTATAGGCACATATATGAAATATTATACATGAATGTGTGTATTTATTAATGT